ACACTACACTTTACACTACACTGTTACAGCCTCACGTGGGTTCTCTGCTGATGCCCCCTCGGCGTGGGACTCTCTAATCCCTCTGCACATCCGCAACATCGCACGCACTCTGACCTCTGCCAATGAACACCTACAGGCCTCTCTCGATGTGTGTTGGCTCGGGGCTTTAGAGAATCCCTGAGCTTGGCTCGACGCGCCTATGAGCTGTCGAATTGTCTGCAAAATGTGTCACGTTATAAAAATCATCATCATCGTCAACTGAAACGCATCTCGATTTAAAACTTTCGTGACTGCAGGGATTCATCTTCTTGGTTCTTTCGGTAAAGTCACGTAGAAGGGAAATAATAAAATAAAAAAATAAAACATAATAAAAAATGTTTTATTTTTATTATTTTATTATTTCCCTTCTATAAATAAAACATAATAAAAGATGTTTTATTTTTATTATTTTATTATTTCCCTTCTACGTGACTTTACCGAATAAAAATAAAACACATTTTATTATGTTTTATTTTTATTATTTTATTATTTCCCTTCTACGTGACTTTACCGACTAAAAATAAAACATATTTTATCACGTTTTATTTTTATTACTTTATTATTTCCCTTCTACGTGACTTTAAACCGAAAGAACCAAGAAGATAAAACGCATCTGTCAATAGCAACACTGTGTGTGTGTGTGACGCTCGAAGCACATACTCCAGGCAAAAGGAACCAGAGGCAATCGCGCAGCTAAGGCCCCGTGGGGGGGGGGGGGGGGGGTGATGGGAGAGTCGATTTGGGAGCCAGGGTTGACGCCGCAGGTGGTGGACAGGGCAGCGTGGATGGAGGCCTCGGCTGAGTCGCTGCCACCACCCCCCCCCGCACCCACCCCGCGAACAGATTCAGTTGGGAAAAGCGTGCCGATGATGGTTGATTGATATGCAAGAGGTGACTTATTGGGTAATGGGCCCCTCTTTGAAGCAGGTAGAGAAGGGAGGTCAGAGTCTGGTTGAAAGGTGGAAGAAGTTTTGTCCAATCCAGCTGCATCGAAAAAATGTTGCTGAAAAACTTAACAAACAAAACAATATTCGTGCACTTTTTCGATTAAAAGCTTTCGTGACTGCAGGGATTCATATTCTTGCTGTGGTTTTCACACCTGATGATGGTTGCTTGTGTTGCAATCGAAACGTCGTGAGGATTATATTGATCATAAATTTGGAGCTTTCGTGACTGCAGGAATTACTCTTTGGTTCTTTCGGTAAAGTCACGTATAAAGATAAAAACGTCGTATGCTATTATTAAATGTATTATTTTATCTTTATACGTGACTTTACCGAAAGAACCAAAGAGGATTATATAGTTTTATTTTTATTATTTTATAATTTCCCTTCTACGTGACTTTACAGAAAGAACCAAGAATATGAATCATGCCCTTGTTTACACCGTTGGGCCTGATGAGAACCACATTTCTTTTTGTAAACGAGTTATTTCAGATGACCATTTCATTTCTTTATATTTGTTTAATGAGTGGCCTATGAAGAGTTACACTCACAGCAGCAGAGCAAGTTATAAACTAAACTCAACGCGTTCGTCAAAAATAAAACAGCGCCGTGGCCTTAATAAGGAAGGATGTGTATAAATAGGCGATTATCCAAAAAAAAAAACAAATTAAATATAAAACGCGCTGTTTCACTGCGGTGTCCGGCACGGCACCCCGGGGGGAGGGGGGAGAAGGGGGGGGGGGGGGCACTGATTGTGCGCCGAAGCAAAAAACCAAAAGGGCTCGATTCGGCGCAGCAACCGACTGTCTGTAGAAAGAGAGAGAAAGGGCGAAACGGTGAATCGTTTGTGCACAACAAAACGATTCACGAACGAACGAAAAACCTCGCGAGAGTGCGCGCAGAAATATACGGAGAGACGCGGGGCCCACTGACAAAAAGGCAGTTCTAAAGAAGTTCGTTTTCAATCTACGTGTCTCTACGCATCTCTTTGAATCTACGCCTTTCTATGGGCCTCCGTGTGGCTCCGTTGGATCGATCGTAAATTGTTGACGTGGCGCGAGAGAAGTTCGGCCGTAAGCCGCTTCACAAGAATGACCCTCGGAGGAGCTTGCAGAACAAATTAAGAGCGGCGGACGAATTGCCACGTTGCAGATGCCGAGTTGCGAACTCAACCGAAAAAAAAACGACGACGACAACTGACCGACCAATAAGGAATATAACGGCGGCTCGCGCCGAGTTTCGCTGACCGCACAGGGAGAAGGGGAATCTTAAATCAAGGAAGGATTTTTTTCGTTAAATTTAAATGCCAGGCGAGAGGCCATTTTAAGGCGAAACCGCGAAACACCCGGGCTCGACCCCAAAAAAGTGAGAGAGATGGCAAAAGCGAGATGACTTCTTAGCGTGGCCGGATCTCGCTGGGCTTGCGTTCAAGAGTGGTTGGCGTTTAAGACCGAAACAGAAGGAGGATTTTGTCCACAAATCTGACTGTCGCCTGATGGTCCTCTCGTTGTTCTTCCCACCAGCCTCCGCTCCATGGGTGTTAGGGGCCCCGCTCATCGGTTGCCCCTGGGCTATGGAACACACTGCCCTTTGAGATCAGATCCGCTGAGTAAATCTGCGCCTTCAAATCTCAATTAAAAACTCATCTGTTCAAAAGGTCTTACAATCTGGCTTGAATTTTCTCTCACTTAGTATATATTTGTCCCTTGAATGCTCTCAATGCTGCCCCTTATGTTTTCTACATGTGCATTGTTATTTTCATGCAATAGTTTTATTTTCAGTATGTATAATATTGAAAACGTTTACTGTGCAGTGCTTTGAGCGTGTGAAGAGTGCCAGATAAATAAAATACATTATTATTGATGAGGCTGCTTGTAATTACCGGCGAAACGTCACGGTAATACGAATTGTAAATGTTGTGGGATCACTCTCCAATACACCGGTGTGCTGAACTAGTAACCAGCTGACACTTTCTGTTTACGTGACAAATCTTACTAATTGGCCGTGTCGGGTAGTGGAGGGTTACGCCACATTTATAAATAACGCGATCTAACCCAAAAACATTTATTATGACTATGGAGCCACACAGTCAACCCACTGCGGTCTGTGCAGGAGGAACAGCGACAGGACACAAACTCTCTCTCTCTCTCTGCTGAAGCCCTCTCACCGTGGCCAGCATCAGCAGACCTCGGCAATTGGCGACATCGAGCGCCTGAGCCGCATCGCCGCCACGCGCACGAACACGACGGCAGTGGGCCCCACCGTGTGCTCAAGTGCGCGTTGCTTGTTCACTTCGAGAGCTAGCTGAGCGACGCGGTAGACCTTGGTGGTGCGTTTCGGTGCGAGAGGGAGCGGTTTCCTTTTTGGTAAAAATATCAACGCAGGCGTTCGTTACTATTTTATTTAATTATTTTTTGTCGCGGTGGGCAGGAGTTCCGTTGCACACAAGCCCGGCCAGGGCCCAGCGAGGGACAGGCTTGACCTTGGGACAGGGAAGGAGGCGAACCATCGGACAAAGACGACGGCAGTCTGGAAAAACAACACATTCCTGCGGAGGGAGCTGGTAGGAACGTTGGGTTGCTCGGTCAATGGCCAGGGTCAACGGCGGCGTGGTGGATTCCGCAAATATGGCCGACTGTGAGGGCGGGCACAAGCCGGCGTGAGTAGGTTAAACGTTGAGTTTTATAAGGGCACCACAGGGTGACCAGACCCTCCCCACCCAGCCCCACCCCTCCAACGCCCCACCGAGCCTCACCGTCCCCACCCAGCCCCTCCCCACCCTCCCTTCTCCACCCAGCCCCACCCCTCCCATTTTTGGATGCACGACGGACGGACGGACACAATAATCCCCTATGGGCTGTGGGAACCAGGTGGTTTCTACCAGTACAAAACACTCTTCTATCCGATATTAGTGAAGCCACTGTGCACCTTTCAATCCAAATTGAAAACCAATTTCTTTAGAACTGCTTTTTAGCATTTAGATTGTTGTCCCACCCCCACCCCCGCCCCTCCGATTATTAGCGTCATTGATGCGAAAGAAATTCAACATTCAGAGAGATACAGACTCTGAGATAGATACGGAGACTCATGAAGCCCCGTGTCGATACAGAGACCTCAGTGGCAGTGCTGGTGCGGTTGTGGCCATACAACCCCGACAAAACGCTGAGCTAATTCGGAGATGGGGCGGTGGCCCTCCCCCCACACCTCCGATGACAATGGTTGGCTACGTACGGTGCAAAAGAAGTCCAACCATACACACGTGCCCAGTTTAGGTGACAAAGTCAAGTTGAATTCCCGGCTCACCGCGGTGCTGATGGCCCGTCGACGGCCCCGTCGGTGGACAACTGGCTGTCAATCTCTGCCCAACTAACCGGTCCATATTTTATCGACCCCCCCCCCCCCCGTCGAAGCTGGTGGGAAGATGGGCTGAGCGAACCCCGCCTCAAAAACACCCGGATTGGAACTCGCGGCCTTCTGGCTACGAACGGCTCGCACAGTCGCTTGGAGCCACCCGGGCCGATAATGGGGAAGTAAAACCCCGATCAGCAACCGTTGGGCAGGGAGCGGTGGCGCCGTGGTTAGCGCAGCGCGCGATAAACCCAGTGCCCTGGAGTTTTGATTCCTCGCCGCCGCGACGAACGGCAAAATAGCGGCGAACGATATCCGAGTCGGTTTCTGGCCATCCGCCAAAAAAAAAAACCTTGCACTGACCAGGGGGGTGAAGTATGGTCAAACGGCCCTTTCGACCGACACGGCGTATTGGAGAGTTTCATCCAGCAGTGGATCGATGAAGGACTGTACGTGTGTTGGTATTAACAAATAGGGTACATTCAAGAGGCTGTGTGCCCCCCACAATCATCCACTCAGCCCCCCAGTGATCCACTCAGCCCCCCCCCCCAGTGATCCACTCAGCCCCCCCCCCCCCCCAGCGATCCACTCAGGCCAATAATTCGCTCTCGGGGGGGTGAGAGGGAGGGGGGTCCGTGCCCATCATTCCCCCCGCCCCGCGCGTCCCACCACGTACGCACCGAGCTCCCTGGACGCCTGGCTCTCGCTCGCGATCTCTCCCAGCTTGACGAGCGCGTCGAAGTACCCCTTGGCAGCGTGGGTGACTCCTGCAGAGCGGCGGCACGGAGACACTCGGTGAGCGGCGGAGAGAGACAAAGGCGGCTGAGCAGTGTTGCCCCTCGCCCCCCCCCAACAAAGGCAAAGACCCCCCGTATAGCCTTAACAGACTCTAGGGGCAAGTGCTGCGAGCGAGCACCTATGAAGGCCGGAACGGTACACGAGGGGGTGGGTGGCCAGCACCACGCCCGGCCGCCTTTGTCTCCCCAAGTGCCGATGTTTACACACCGCACCAGGTACTCATTTGAGGCCGAGTCGACCTAGGGGAGGCCCAGTACCGGTTGAGATAATCGTCACAGGTGGGAATCGAACCCGGGTCACCAGGTTCATAGCGCAGCGTAGCGCTAACCGCCGCACCACCGCTCCCCCCCCAACACATGTGTGTAAGCTAAAACCAGGGGCGAAGGGGGGGTGTGGGCTTTGTTATCAAATCATCGTGACAGCTGACAACCAAACAGCCTCGACACATTCGCAAGAGCCACCGCGTGGCCCCAAAGAGTAGCCGACAACAACAAAAATGCACGGATAGCAGGCGACGTTTCGGGCGGCGGGCCTCCTTCATTTTGGGTGCCGCGAAAAAGGCGCCGTTCGCTGAACCGTGGCCAACTCAACGTTTTCCTTTTGTAAGGGCCCCACGATGTTCACTGGCGATTGCTCCGAGCTGAGCTGGTGCGTGTACCCTGGACGTGACTGTGTGCAACTTGCGGGGAGCGGCGGTGGCGATTATCCGAACCGGTCCTGGGCCTCGCCTAGGTCGACTCAGCCTCAAATGAGGTCCCGGGTGTGGTGCGTGAACGTCGCCACTCGGGAGACAAGGGCAGTGAGTGTGGTGCCATGCCAGCCGTCATAGGTGCCACTCGCTAACGGCACCGGTCCCTACAGCCTGTTGAGGCTATCCGGGGGATCTTTGCCTCTGTTGTGTGTGTATCCTGTACACGTGCTGTGTGACACGTGTTCTGTACACACACACACACTGACCTGACAGGGCCTTCTCGTAGCACTTGCCCATGGCCACGAAATTCCTCAAGCACGGATTGTATTGCTCCATGATCGTCTGTGGGGTCAGAATTTGACGAGCAAAGTCACTCACTCAACCAGCCAGCCAGCCAGCAAGCCACAACATCACGTACTCGCTCACCCGGCCAAAACACCACTTACTTCACTGACTCACTCACCCACCCGTAACGTTTTCACTCATTCAACTCAGCTACAGTATCGTGCACTCACTTGCCCGCTAACTGATGAACTCTCTTAGCCACAACTTCACTGACTCACCTACTCACTCACCCACTCACCCGGCCACAAATACCACCCACTTCACTGACTCACTCACCCACCCGTTACGTGTTTCACTCATTCACTCAGTTACAGCATCATCCACTCGCTCGCCCGCCCACTCACTCAGCCACAAAATCACCCACTTCATCGACTCATTCACTCACCCATAATTTCACTCATTCACTCAGCTACAACTTCATTCACTAATTCACTCACTCACTCTCTTGCTCGCTCGCTCACCCACTCAGCTACCCGCCCAGCCACTACATTTTCTCAATTACTCATTCACTCGCTCGCTCGCTCAATCATCCATTCATTCACTCGCTCGCTCAACCATCCATTCACTCACTCGCTCGCTCACTCGCACCAGCACATCAAACCGAATCGTTCGGTGATGCTGCTGCGGTGGTGCACAGGCACAGTTAATAATTAATAATACAACACAAACTCAGCACACATTCATCTTCTTGGTTCTTTCGGTAAAGTCACGTAGAATGGAAATAATAAAATAATAAAATAAATCATAATAGAATAATTCTCACGACGTTTCGGCCACAACGCAAGCAGCCGTCCTCGGGTGAAGACCAGGTCTGTCGGGGAGACAGCGTCTGAATGACGCTTTATTATTTCCATTCTACGTGACTTTACCGAAAGAACCAAGAAGATGAATCCCTGCAGTCACGAAAGCTTTAAATCAAAATTCAGCACACATTCGTCAAGAACAATACCGCAGGCGATGATGCTTCAGGTAATGCCCCTTCCTCATTGCGTGTTGTTATAAACAGTGCAACATCGCTCACTCCATTTATTTCTTAATTACAAACGAATTTTCTGGGAGAGTTCCGATTTCAATGACGTGATCTCATAGAGTCCCTGCAGGCACACAATAATAATATGCTACACAGTGGCAGTGGGGGTCGCAAAATGCCGATGTATTACTAATAAACCCCAATGATCCGATCGAAATTAGGGATTTCGATCGGATCATTGGGGGGGGGGGGGGGAGGGGGGCATGTGCCACCCTCCCCCCCACTGGCTCCGCCAGTGCTGACACTGCTGATGAGACACTGGATGTCAATCACCGGCCCGGAGTTTTTCTTGCACCGAACCAACGCTGCTGAAATGTTGTAAGCCGAGATGGCTGTGGGGTCTGCTGGGATGCGTAAAGCCAGGCTAGTATATATTTTAAGGGGAGACACGTCTAGACGTAAGACGGAGAGACATCGCGTGCCTATCTGCAGTATACTGTCGATTATTTCCACCGTGACCCTAATGATGATTTTTCGATTTAAAGCTTTCGTGACTGCAGGGATTCATCTTCTTGGTTCGTTCGGTAAAGTCACGTAGAAGGAAAATAATAAAATAATAAAAATAAAACATAATAAAATAATTCTCACGACGTTTCGGCCACAACGCAAGCAGTCGTCTTCAGGTGGAGAACAGGTCTGTCGAGAAGACAGAGTCTGAGAAGGCAGAGTCTGCCTTCGAGTAGACAGAGTCCTTCAGACTCTGTCTACTCGACAGACCTGCTCTCCATCTGAGGACGGCTGCTTGCGTTGTGGCCGAAACGTCGTGAGAATTATTTTATTATGTTTCATTTTTATTATTTTATTATTTTCCTTCTAAGTGACTTTACCTAATGATGATTTCGTGTGATGTATGATAAAGGCAAAGATCCCACGTGTAGCCTTAACGGAGGGGCAAGTGCTGCTAGCGAGTGGCACCTGTGATGGCCGGCACGGCACACGAGGGGGTTGGTGCGGCAAATAACCACGCCCGGCCGCCTTTGTCTCCCCCACGTTCATGTCTGAGGCCCAAGAATGATTTTTGTCTCATCCACACTCGAGGCCCTGCTTTGTCTCATGGGCCAGGTTCTGGTGGAAGCGATGAAGGTGATGATGGTGGTGGTCGTGGTGGTTAGTGGTGGTGGTTGTCGTTGATCGTGATGAAGATGAAAACGACGGTGATGCTGGTGGTGGAATTGGAAATGGTTCAAGCATTGATGATGATTTAATTATGACAATGAGTCTAACCGGTGGGAGATGTTGTCGTGATGATGATCACTTGATTTGAAGCTTTCGTGACTGCATGAATTACTATTTGGTTCTTTCAGTAAAGTCACGTAGAAAGAAAATATGATGATTTCTCGTGTTGCAATCGAAACGTCGTATGCTATTATTTAATTATTATTTTCTTTCTACCTACGTGACTTTACCGAAAGCACCAAATAGTGATGATGGCGATGTTGGTCGTGGTATTCATGATTATATAGTACAGTACTGTACTCTTTGCTGCCACCGCTCATGATGATATTTCACATCGGGAGTTTTGATGCTGCTGTTGATATTAATGTTGATAGCTTTTTACAACGTTGCTTCTTGTGCTGTTTCTGCCGATACCGTCACCGATATTGCTGCTGCTGCTGCTGCTTCTTGCTGACGATTGCTGAAAACGAATGTTGATAATTCTAGATTTGAAGCTTTCGTGACTGCAAGGATTCATACTCTTAGGTTGTTTCGGTAAAGTCACGTAGGTAAAAAATTAAAATTTAAATTAATAAAAGTAAAATAAAAATAAAATAAAAATCACGACGTTTTGGAGGCAACACAAGTCTCCGCCATCAGGTGGGACCGTCACAGCTAGATTTGCTGTATCAAGTGAGGCAAATATTAACTTGTAATTAAGATCTTGTATCTTGGAATCTTTGCCTCACTTGATACAGCAAATCTGGCTGTGACGGTCCCACCTGATGACGGAGACTTGTGTTGCCTCCAAAACGTCGTGATTTTTATTTTATTTTACTTTTATTAATTTTAATTTTTTACCTACGTGACTTTACCGAAAAAACCTAATAATATGAATGTTGATAATGTTTACGATGCTGCCACTGTTGCTTTCTGAATGCCACGTGTCAGCCCACTGAACTCCCTTGCTCACATCAGGGGCTTGTAAACACTCCCCCCCCCTCTCTCCACCTCGTCCATCACCCCCACCCCGTCACCCCCTCATTTAAAGAGTGCTTGTGTGCGAAGTGGCCAGCACCACGTCCCTTTCTCACGCCGGCAAAGACAAAGTCCCCCCGTAGAGCCTTCAGCAAGTTGTTGGGGCAAGTGCTGTTCGCGAGCACCTATGAAGGCCGGCACGGCACACGAGGGGGTGAGTGGCCAACACCACGCCCGGCCGCCTTTGTCTCCCCAGTGGCGATGTTGACTACACATCGCACCAAGGACTAATTTGAGGCTGTGTCGACCTAGGGGAGGCCCAGGACCGGTCACCGGTGTTGGCCGTGAGCGGGAAATCGAACCGAGGTGGCCAGGTTCGTAGCGCAGCGTAGCGCTAACCGCTGCACCACCACGCACGCACGCGAATATTTGAGCTGTAGCGGCGTTAGCAACACGGCAGATGGCGATGACGACAATGATCAAGTCGGGATGACAATGCCGCGGTGACTTATCGGCGCGCCGAGCGGCCGCAGATTAAACTCCGTCTCCCCGACCCATCGGTTGCGCGCGTCTTAAATATTCCCAACCTCTCGCTCAAATCAACCTCGCAGCCTCTGCCCACCCAACGTGCACTTCGCGGTCATTAGATCGGATCGGTCGCGCGTGTGGTGGTGGTGGGGTCAAGTGCGGGGACGCCCACCACCTCTTCCAAGGCGTCTGGTCGGTGTGGAAGAGGAGGTGGACACTCCGCCTAGAGACTCCCGTGTAGCGGAGGCGCCGTCCAGCCGTCAGCAGTGGCGTGAGCTGAGCCGTTGCAGGGCCTGCGCCTTTAACCCCCCCTTGATCAAAGGGCTCGTGGGGAAAGCCCAAACAGCTCTAGGGCGAAGAGCGTGATGTTAGTTCGGAGTGTTGCTCTCTTCGAGTGGTTCCTCTTGACGATGAAACAAAAAACACCCCCACCCGCCCTGCGCGCACACTCGACAATAGTGGCAATTCCACGTTGCTATGGTTTGTTCGGGGAGGTTTAAAAGGAAATAAGTCACGTGCTGTGTTGCTGAGCGCAGGCCCGTTGGCCCAAAACGTCAAGGAGCCCAGCAACAAGCAGCACGAGCGGACGTGCAATGGCCACGAGTTGAATGCGTTGCTTGAGTTGAGCGACGTTTGTTAGTAAAGGGGCGGGCGGGGGGCATTGTGAAGCGGTGCGGGGTGAGGGGAGACGGAGAAATGTGGTGACCTGCGGTGTGGTGAGTGGGTGGGTGTGGTTGTGAGTGGGTGAGTGGGTGAGTGCGTTCTTGTGACCTGCAGTGTGGTGAGTGGGTGGGTGGAGTTGTGAGTGGGTGAGTGTGTTGTTGAGACCTGCAGTGTGGTGAGTGGGTGGGTGGGTGTGGTTGTGAGTGGGTGAGTGGGTGAGTGCGTTCTTGTGACCTGCAGTGTGGTGAGTGGGTGGGGTTGTGAGTGGGTGAGTGCGTTCTTGTGACCTGCAGTGTGGTGAGTGGGTGGGGTTGTGAGTGGGTGAGTGGGTGAGTGTGTTGTTGTGACCTACAGTGTGGTGAGTGGGTGGGTGGGTGAGGTTGTGAGTGGGTGAGTGTGTTGTTGTGACCTGCAGTGTGGTGAGTGGGTGGGTGGGGTTGTGAGTGGGTGAGTGGGTGAGTGTGTTGTTGTGACCTGCAGTGTGGTGAGTGGGTGGGTGGATGGGGTTGTGAGCGGGTGAGTGGGTGAGTGCGTTCTTGTGACCTGCAGTGTGGTGGGTGGGGTTGTGAGTGGGTGAGTGGGTGAGTGCGTTCTTGTGACCTGCAGTGTGGTGAGTGGGTGGGTGGGTGGGGTTGTGAGTGGGTGAGTGGGTGAGTGCGTTCTTGTGACCTGCAGTGTGGTGAGTGGGTGGGGTTGTGGGTGGGGGAGTGGGTGAGTGTGTTGTTGTGACCTACAGTGTGGTGAGTGGGTGGGTGGGGTTGTGGGTGGGTGAGTGTGTTGTTGTGACCTGCAGTGTGGTGAGTGGGTTTGTAAGTGGGTGAATGGCTAAGTGGGTGAGTGCATTCTTGTGACCTGCGGGGTTGTGAGTGGGTGAGTGGGTGGGGTTGTGAGTGCGTTCTTGTGACCTGCAGTGTGGTGAGTGGGTGGGATTGTGAGTGGGTGAGTGGGTAAGTGGGTGTGTTGTTGTGACCTTCAGTGTGGTGAATGGGTGGGTGAATGGGCGGGTGAGCGAGTGAGTGAATCGTTGAGTAGGTAAGGGGGTGAGTGCGTTGTTGTGACCTGCAGTGTGGTGAGCGGGTGGAGGAATCAATGAGTGAAGTTCGTGAGTAAAATGAAGAAACCATTGTAGCAGCGATGGAAAAGCGACGAAGAGGTGACGGACCGTCATTGATGAGACACAAGAAAATTGTGACTTCGCACAAATTGGTACTGATTTTATCCCAAGTTGGTTGAGCGTCAAGTGGGCTTTCCGCAGGCCACATCGTGGCTAGAAGGGATGGCCACGATGATGATGGCATATGAACAAGACGGATGATGGCAGATGAACAAGACGAATGATGGAATGCCAGCCAAGGGCGACCTGCGTGGAGATGGAACGGTGTGAGCAGTTGCAGGAGTGAGACTGTGAGTGGTGATGACGCTGTGGTGGGGGGGCTTCATCTAGCAGTGGATAGACCACGGCTGATAGTGATAATATGAAGGTGATGATTGATGTACATTACGGATGATAGCCAAAGTCGGCCACCAGATGGAATTTTAATATCAACACTGGGAAGACAAAGGCGGTTGGGTGTGGTGCTAGTCACACTACTTCCTTCTGTGTTGCGTTGACAAGCACAACAAAGATCCCCCATATAGCCTTGAACAGCCTTGGGGCAAGTGCTGTTAGCGACCACACAAATACACACATACAACAGCATCAGCAGCCACTAAGTTGTGGTGACGTAATTGCGGCACTTGTGCCAGGCTAGGTGCACCTTAAGGCAACGTGAAATGTCGAAGGCTCGCTGCTGGCAAGGAGGTCACAAAGACAAAGGTCCCCCATATAGCCTTAGTAGACTGTAGGAGCAAGTGCTGTTAGCGAGCACCTATAAAGAAGGTCACACACACGCACGCACACACACACGCGCATACACACACACACGCGCACACGCACACACGCACACACACACGCACGCACCTTATAGGCGTTCTCCGTCAGTTTGGCAGCCTCTTCGACTGGAGACATGGTGGTGGTGGTGATGGTGGTGATGATGGTGGTTGTGGTGGTGTAGGTTCGAGTCTCGGTGGAGGCGTCGAGCCCAGTATTCTCTCTCTCCTCCCACCTTCCCTTGGAAGCAGAGGCTACCAGCAGTAGCAACACAGTCAGTAGCAGCACTCCAAGTACAAGCAGCAGTGCATCAATCTACAGGCAGCAGCAGCAGAGGCAGTACACTTACAGGTAGCAGTACAACTAGCAGTGGATGTACATCTACCAATAGCAGTAGACCTACCATCAGCAGTACACCTACTACGATTAGCAGCACACTTAACATTAGCAGTACACTCAGCTGCGTGCCGGCAGATCACGAGACACGAGTCACAGCGGGAGTCGTTAGAACACCAAACACAGAGATGCTCGAGGCGGCGAAGTTGAATGATGGTGATGCTTGTGATAATGCTAAGATGATGATATGCTAACGACGATTACGGTGTGACGGCGATGATGATTGCGATGATGGTGATGATGATTGCGAGGTGATGGTTATGATGGAAATTCCAACATCTATCGTGAAATTATGGTGGCGTTGACTCTGGTATGACGACGAAAACGATTAAACGATGATTACATTCTTGATTTGAAGCTTTCGTGACTGCAGGAATCGATACTATTTGATTCTTTCGGTAAAGTCACGTAGGTATAAAATAAAAGTTTATTTTATTGATGATATGCTAACGACGAAAATGTTATTTTATACCTAGGTGACTTTACTGATTATTACATTCTGAGGATACTGATTATGATGATTACAATAAGATGATTATGCTATGACTATAAGTCGACGATATTGCAAAAGACAATGCACCACACCTTAAAATAAACAATTGTTTAACAGAAAACATGGTATGGTATATACGACGTTAACAGCGATGTAATTACGAAGATGAACATTCCAACACTAATCACGATATTCTGATGCTGATGATGCTGATGATGATTTTCTAATGAAAAAAATGTGATGCAAACTCCATCTGTTATTTAAAAAAACTGCCAATCAGCGGTAAACGATATTGGCGATGCTGCCGAAATTGGCATTTGGTGCGCATTCACAATCGACACAACAACAAAAAAACACGACTCCTAAAACATTTCGTCATTCAAACCGCGTGGCCTTAGCTTAAACAAACATATCATGGGTGACGTTTCGGGCAATATCCCTTCTTGGGCAGAGAGCACATCATGAGCGAAACAAACAAACAAAGAAATAAATAGCGTTCTGTTGCTCACCTAACGGACCGAGCCTCACTCCCAAATCCCCTGTTCCATGCGGTCCGCTCAGATCGATACTCACCCAACCCTCGCTCGCTCCGCGGAGTGGGAGACGCGGGGAGGGGAGGGGCTGGTGGGGGGGGGTGGATGGGAGGGGCTGGGGGGAGGCGGAGAAATGGGGGGAGGGGGCGGTAAGGGTGGTGAAGGGTGGAGAGGGGAGGGGTGAGAAAGGGGGTGGAGGGGGGGGGTTCAGGGGGAGGGTGGAGGGCACGATAAGGATTGAGGGGAGGGGGATTGGTGGTAGTGGGTGTAGAGGGGAGGGGTGAGAAGGGGGAGGGGCGGTAAGGGTGGTGGAGGGTAGAGAGGGAGGGAGGCGATAAGGATTCAGGGGTGGAAAGGGGGATTGAGGGGAGGGGCTGGGTGGTCTGGGTGGAGCGGGGTGAGAAAGGGGAGGGGTGAGGGAGATGCAGGGTGCGGAGGTGATGGGCCCGTGTGCGTCTGTGTCTGTGTGTGGGGGTACAGCTGGTGCATCTGCCAGTCACCTCGGTACCTTGCTGGGTCTGTCCCCCGTGACGACCTCCTGTCAGCGAGCCTTCGGCACTTCGCGTGGCCTCAAAAGTGCACCTAGCCTGGCACTGGCGCCGTGGTGACGTCACCGCCACTTCGTGGCGATTGGTGGGTGTTGTTGTTGTTGTTGTGCGACGATACTTTGAGTCGCACGTGGTGTAACTCTCATTGTGCTAATCCCACGTCGCAGTGGGATTAAGCCGGGATAATTGAATAGAAGATTATAATATTTATTCACACTGTAGGAGGAATCCGATGAGCTATGAAGCTCTTTTTCAGATGTCCAGTAGGGGCGAGTAAACCCGTTACAAAAACGCGATAGTGTAGAAGAGACGCCGCGGTGGCTAGGAGATGTTAACTATCTCGCCTGGTGTGCAGGAGGTCGTGGGTTCGATCTGGACCCTGACGCCTGCTGCTGTATATTTGGAGTTTGCGTGTCTCTCTATCTCCCCGTAGAGATGTTAACTACCTCGCCTGGTGTGCAGGAGGTCGTGGCTTCTATCTGGACCCTGACGCCTGCTGCTGTATATTTGGAGTTTGCGTGTCTCTCTATCTCCCCGTAGAGATGTTAACTACCTCGCCTGGTGTGCAGGAGGTCGTGGCTTCTATCTGGACCCTGACGCCTGCTGCTGTATATTTGGAGTTTGCGTGTCTCTCTATCTCCCCGTAGAGATGTTAACTATCTCGCCTGGTATGCAGGAGGTCGTGGCTTCTATCTGGACCCTGACGCCTGCTGCTGTATATTTGGAGTTTGCGTGTCTCTCTATCTCCCCGTAGAGATGTTAACTACCTCGTCTGGTATGCAGGAGGTCGTGGCTTCTATCTGGACCCTGACGCCTGCTGCTGTATATTTGGAGTTTGCGTGTCTCTCTATCTCCCCGTAGAGATGTTAACTACCTCGCCTGGTGTGCAGGAGGTCGTGGGTTCGATCTGGACCCTGATGCCTGCTGCTGTATATTTGGAGTTTAAGTGTCTCGCTCTCTCTCCCCGTGACCACATGGATTTTTTTCTGGGGCCTCCCGTTTTTCCCTACACATTTATTGCAGCCAGGTCGCTTCTGAAAAAAAAACACAGAGCTATTGAATATTGCTCAGTAGGCCTTACCAGGTGGTAAAAAAAATTCTGAACGTCTAACAACGTGGGCACCACGAGGAATGAATGACAGGACCTGCAACAACACCACCAGCAACGCACCACGTGGGGGAGACGAGATTATTTTGTAAGTTTTGTTGATACAACTCGCTGGCCAGCCTCGGCTGGACATCTGTGTGAGAAAACAAAACCACTCTCTATTTAAAGCTTTCGTGACTGCAGGGATTCATCTTCTTGGTTCTTTCGGTAAAGTCACGTAGAAGGGAAGTAATAAAATAATAAAAATAAAACATAATAAAATAATTCTCACGACGTTTCGGCCACAACGCAAGCAGCCGTCCTGAGGACTGAGGACGGCTGCTTGCGTTGTGGCCGAAACGTCGTGAGAATTATTTTATGTCTTATTTTTATTATTTTATTACTTCCCTTCTATGTGACTTTACCGAAAGAACCAAGAAGAAAAAAAAACAATCTCCATAGCTCATCGGATTCCTCCAGGATGAACAAAGATTGTGATTCTAAAAGGTCGAAAACTTTATTCGAGTTTTTGTTGTTGAAAACCATTTTCGGGAGAGACTCCAATCGATGAAAGCAATACACAGAAAGCAAAATCCACACACGGAACGATCACGCGCGCGCGCGAGAGAGAGAGAGCGCGAACAAAAAGCGCCGTTCAGTTCAATATTGTATCATCTTTCGTCGGCGAGCGATAACCATCAGACGCTGCCGCGGTTCGATTACGAAGAGGAACAACCGCAGTGGGTTTCTGTGCGCGATGCACTCCCGTGAGCGCGGGGGGGGTGGGGGGTGGACCCGGACACCAGAACGCTCGCAACCCTGGCCATCGGCACGCAAGGCAGCAGTGCCGGACCAAGCCAGTGCCGGGGCCTGTCGTAGCAGATGTTGTTATAAAGGAGCCTTTAAATAAAAAAAAAACACTTTAATATTTAAACACTAATTTGTAACTTGCATAGTAAAGTAATCGTATTTTTTCATTTGCTATACGGCCAGATAATACGACAAATCGTTCAACTTAAACACCCAATCGCTCATAAAAGTTGAAGGCGGTATAGTACTAGAGTAATAGAGCAAGTGCAGAATCACTGAACCGGAATTGAGAGCTTGAAAGCATTTAGCGCGGGGCCCTTGAAAGTGCGGGGCCCGTAGCTACGACATTTGTAGTAGCTGTAGTAGTAGCTACTACATTTGTAGCTACTTGTGCTACTATGATCATCCGGCACAGGCAGGCAGGCACGCAGGCAAGCATGGTGGCCCTCGACTCGGGGAGGCAGCAGAGTTGACGCGGCGACGTTCGGCCCGAAATGTGGGCTGACAGACGCAACCCAAAACGCACGGGTTTCCTTGCGGCAGGAGCAGCTGTGACACGGGTGACACGGGTGGTGGCGGTGGTTCGGGGAAGTTTCTCAGCTTTTTAAATCATTTATATTAAGTTCACTTGCTTGCTTGCTTGCGTGCTTGCGTGCTTGCTTGCTTACGACCGTGCAAATCTTTCGGTCGTTTTTTAACCCACTTCCCGTGATCCAATCGAGCTGTTTAGTGAAAACTAATTAAATATTTAATTACCAATTGCTTAATACTGGCAGACAATCATCTGACCCATAGATTGCAGCCATCTCAAGCCAGAGGACGAGAGGACTCGAGCCGCCACGCATATAAAGGATTTAGAGTGAAAAACTTAGTTTTTACGGGTTGATTTTATTTTCAACGGTGACAAAATTATTCCGAAACGTTACCGTCGGTCACGCGACAAATACGCAGGGCTATAGGGTTTTTTTTGGTAAATCAAACAATAGGGGTTTGTAAACTCAAGACACGTGTGTATGCTTCAACTTCTTTCGCACCGTACGTAGTAGCCAACCGTGCAAATCGAAAGTGAATTAGCGTGCGCACCCACGTACGAAGCTCCGAGTCTCTCTGCGAGTCGTTGGTGACTTTTGTGATCGGGACATCAACTCCCGACACGTGACAAGCCGGGTTCATTCACGTGCGGCTGAAAACCCAGATTTGAACACATGACCTCGGCTGCGTGTCAGCTCAGGTATTTAACATGGCGTTAGCGGTACGCTCCCCCTGGGTGCTTCCGAAACAATGTAACGCGTGTGACCTAGTAACGGAAGATAAAAAAAGGCGTTTTTGTATGTACAGTAAAACCTTGGATTGCGAGCATAATCCGTGTTTGTGTAATCCAACGCACTCGTATATCAGTTGTGATCACGTGACGCTCGGCAGACAAAGCGTAGACACGCGCTACTCGTATTGCAAGACCTCGCTCGTTTATCAAATGAATATTTATTTAAATGTTTTGCTCGTCTTGCAAAACACTCGCAGACCGAGTTTCTTGCAATTCAAGGTTTTACTTACGTTGAACTTCTTTCGCACCGTACGTAGCCAACCGTGTTCTGATCGGAGGCGCGGGGCAAGGGCCCACACCAGAGGCCGCAATCGGGTACCCGATACCCGTACCCTACCCGATACCCGGCTACCTGTACCCGGCCGGGCACGGGTACCGGTTTGCGACCCTGGTGCGGCCGGGTACGGGTAGGCCGTGAGTCACTGGTGAGTAACTGTTTGTCACTCATTTCGGGTAGGGTACGGTTCATCTTCTTGGTTCTTTCGGTAAAGTCACGTAGAAGGGAAGTAATAAAATAATAAAAATAAAACATAATAATTTTACATAATAATTTTAAACATAATAATTTTAAAAATACAACATAATAAAATTATTATAAATTTTATTATAAACATAATAATTTTATAAATTTTATTATAAACATAATAATTTTATTATGTTTATAATAAAATTTATAATAATTTTATTATGTTGTATTTTTTATTATTTTATTACTTCCCTTCTACGTGACTTTACCGAAAGAACCAAGAAGATGAATCCCTGCAGTCACGAAAGCTTTAAATCAAAATTTAGGGTACGGTTAGCGACCCTGGCGCGGCCGGGTACGGGTAAGGAATCAAAACCCGTTTGCGACCTCTGGCCCACACCCCCCCCTCCCCGTTCTCTGAATTAGCCCAGCGTGTTGTCGGGACGCCGCTGCGAAGCGAGTGTGTACCGCCCTCTAGCGAAATCGCTGCCTTGCCAAGAACTGCGCGCTTCCTCAGCCGGTGCGCGCAAGAAACGTCGTCTGTTTTTCTTCTAATTCTTCTTCAGAAGTACGGCGCAGGCATGGGCACCGTGCAGGAGAAATTTCGGAGGCGCGGGGAAATGTTGGTGCCACGACGCAGCCAGATGATACACCACGTGACGCGCCGCACGCCGAACATTGCGTCGACTGGAGGTGACCAGGACTTGCGATCGCCCTCCGTCTCTCTCTGTCTCTCTGGCGTCGGCAACGACCACCACCACGTGACTTTTCTTTCGTGTTGTGCGCGGTGCATTTAGCGCCACAGCGCGTGGATTTACAGCGTTTATGTTTGCTGGTGACCGTGAATTTCATATCGGAATCGCCTCCAGTGCTGTTGCTGCTGGCGGCAATAAAAGTTGTTTAAAAGTCAAAAGTCTCTCTCTCTCTCCGGCGGGTGGGTGGAGGCCGGCGCACGGAGAGAACCGTTGGATAAAAAATTGCTTTGTGGTGCACAGTTTGGCAGTTGGCTCAACAATGACATCGTGACGGGCGGTACATTTGTTTGTAAATGGTGCACGTTCTTTTTTGTAATTCTGTACCCTCGCCCCCCCGTCCGTTGTGTTTGTAAATTTGGTGACCAAGGTCGCTCTTGCAAATGTGACTCTGTGACTCTATATCCTGGTCTCACACGAATTGTCACCCTGGTTAAACAAAAACACATTCCTGCGGAGGGAGCTGGTAGGAACGTTGGGTTGCTCGGTCAATGGCCAGGGTCAACGACGGCGTGGTGTATTCCGCAAATATGGCCGACTGTGAGGGCGGGCACAAGTCGGCGTGAGTAGGTTAAACGTTGAGTTTTATAAGGGCACCACGGGGTGATCAGCCTCTCCCAATCCAGCCCCACCCCTCCCACCCAGCCCCTCCCTGCACGACGGACACAATAATCCCCTGTGGGCTGGTGTAACCAGGAGGTTCCTACCAGTATAATTACAAAATCAACTGAGAACTTGTTGTAACCCAGGTCTGCGGTGAAAGAGAGAAAGCAACACATGAACGACAACCCTGGCTGTGTCGGGTGGTGGCAGGTTTAATGACACATTTATATATTTACGCGATCTAACAAAAAAAACCCCGCATCATGAAACCGTATCTCAGTCTGCGTTGTGGGAAGCCCCCTCCCTCCGGCAGCGACGTCAGGCCGGGAATCGGCCACGCTCCGCCAACAGGGTTCCGGCGCGAGACGGCACATCTTCCCACCTCGCGATGACGGTAGCACTTTGTTCGGGAGAACGATGGGGGCCTTTCGGAGAGGGAGAACTGCAAGATTGTACATTTGTTTTGGTCACAGGGGCAGAGTTGAGGCGCCGTGCTGCCGCAGATGCAAACTGGCATCTGATCAAAGTCACCCGGTTTGCGCCCGAAAACCCGTCGGCTCTTCGAAGCCAAGCAAGGTTTGAGCCTGGGCAGCGCGTGGGTGGCGGGTGATCGCCACGACGCGCCACGCTGTGGGCAGCAGAGGGCAGTGCAGAACCGTACTGCTCTGCTCCCACGCCGATGCCACGCACCTTCACCACAGCCCGCACTGACCGGCGTGGTGAAGTATGGTCGCGTAAACCCCACGACCCACACGGCGTGGGGAGCGGGGGCCCTCATCCAGCAGTGGATTGACGAAAAAAGGCATGTGCATGTACACACGGAGATTACGTTCTGCCGGAACAATCCAGAACGCCGTTCCGAGAATAATTTTGGCGCCCAATATCGGTCCGATTATCGTGATAGAGGGTACAATAATAATCTTATATTAGTGTCCCCTATAGTCCTATACAAACGTGGGCTGTGATCAGGTTTATAAAAAGCTGTTCATAGGATTATAGGGCAATGAAGGAGTATTACAGATAGGCGTAACGTGTAGTCTGGTGGTAGTGCCTTACGCAAAATAATCCAGACTCCAAGCCAGCCTTGCAGCGCTCTGGAAAGCATCGGGTGGGAAATTAAACCCCCGGTGGCGCTCTGACAACGAAATAATAAACACGCGCACAGCAGTTCACTCGCGTACCACATCGTGGCTGGCACAATGGCCCTTATCGCTGCCTATAAAACACTCTCATTCTGTCCCACACACAGGCCCCCCACCCCCCCTAGCCCCCCACTCTCACTCTGTCCCACACACAGCCCCCACCCCCCCCCACTTAGCCCCCCCCCATAGCCCCTCCAACCCCTTAACGAGCGTTGGGTCACGATGCCACCATTGCCTCCTCTCGCCTCGATGAGTCGCTCGCCGCCGCCGCCGCCGCCTTGCCCTTGGCTTTCGCTCGCTCCCCCCGTCTCGCTGTTGGGGACGACAGAGAATCGAGAGAGCACGCACAGAGACAACGCTAGCGCCGTGTAGACTGTTGTGGGGGGCGAGGGGGGGCGGGGGGCTGAGTGGCCAGCACACAGGCCCGGCCGAAATATATAGGCGACAGCACGCACAGGCGCACTCGCAAATGCGCACGCAAAAACGGCACGTTGCAATCCTCCACAATCATCATTATCGTCATGCATGTCCGTCAAGTGTACACCCCGTGGCGGAGCGTGGTTGGCACGTGGCCCAGCACTGACACTTCTCGTAGCGGCCTCAAGGCGCACTTGGCCTGGTGCAAGCGCCGCATTGGTGACGTAAAACGCCACATGGATGGCAAACGGCGGCCGTTGCGTGCGCGCGCGCATGTGTAAGTACGTCTGTGGCACGTGCATAGGAATGCGTGCATTCTACAACGTGACACGAGGGTAGGCGCTCGCGCGAGTAGCTGCACGCCCGTGTGCGCTGGCGCAGCGTCTGCCACGCACCTTCCCTCTCCTCGTCTGAAGGTAGCTCCTCATCCGGCACGTCTGGCAGCTGCTGTTCCGCGTCCTGCCGACCGCATCGTCAACAGGGCGAGAGGAGCGAGGGTGAGAGCGGGCGAGCGGGTCGTACTGGCGTGTCGCTGGTGGGCGAGTTAATTAGCAGGCGAGGATTAACGTCGGTGCGTGCTCGCCGCAAGTACGTGTGGTCATGCAGACACGATTCCTTGCAAAAGGTTTCTGTTTGGTGTTTGTAACATTTCAACACCTGTTTAATGCCAGAAAGAGTAAAACCTATTCTTATAGCTGCGTGAGATGTTGATTGACCACACATGTGTGCGTGTGGTGGGTCGAGTGAGCGAGCGGTGACCCGAGTGGGAATGCGACAACGACGAGTGAGCAAGAGGGTGAGCGAGTGTCGGTGAGGATATGAGTGTGTAAATGAGGTAGCAGTTGAGTGATGGCCAAAGTGAGTGAGCGAGGTAGCCGGCGAACGAGCGAGCATGCCAACGAGTGAGCAAGCGATCGCGTGTGCGAGCAAGGTGAGCGAGCGGGACAGCGCGTGTGAGTGATTGAGGAGGCAAGTGACTTGGGTGTGTGCGAGAGTCGGTACACGAACGGCTGAGTGAGCGAGCGAGTGAGCGAGTGAGCGAGTGAGTGAGCGAGCGAGCGAGTGAGCGAGCCAGCCAGCGAGGGGGGGGGGGGGGGCGATTGCGGCGGCACGTGGCACCTTCGTGATCTCGTCCAGCTCGGCGAGCACCGCCTCTTCGTCCTCGTCGGAGAGACCGCCGGCCAGCAAGTCGTCGATTTGCTGGGAAGAACATCGCAGCGGGACACGGCGGTCGCCGCGGTCAGCCGACCCCGACAGGAACTCTCGCGCGCGAGCCAGCGAGAAAATAACATCGTCATCGAGCACGGGAGTGCGGGACTCGAGGCCACGTTGCCGATTTTTTTACGACACGGGACGGTGTCGCGGTGTCGCGGATGCGCCATCGGTTTTGCAAAAGTTCCGACGGGAATGCGAAACGCCGCAGTTTGTTCGCTCACCCGCTGATAGTCGATGGAGTCTTGCGTCTCATCCATTATCCTCTCCACTTCCTCGATCGACATCATCTGTGGGGGTTGTGACGCAGGCGTATGGGAGGGACCGCACACTCATCATCGTTATTGTCGTCACTGCCACCGTTTGTCGTCACACTCGTTATCGTCGCTGTGGTGATACTTCTCCACGATTTGAGCTTTGGGCTCTTTCGGTCTTTCAAGCCTCAACACACGAGTCAACAACTCAGTCGATAACTACGGGATTAAACACGATATTCGGTGGTGGTGCTGCTGTGCCGGCAGTGCTGCACAGGCACAAATCGCGAGGGACGTTTTTTTTCTCTAAGTGAAGACGGCCACCCTTGAACCGAGGGGCCCTCGCCACTGGGCGGAGGAGTGAAGAGGGGCAGTGAAGAGGAGGAGTGAATAAGAAGAGGGCGCTACCCCTCTCACGCCACGGCTCACCTCGTGCATCTTCTTCAGGCACTCGTTCCCGACCTTGAGTCCCTCGATGACCTTGGCCTCGATTTGGGCAAACTCGATGTCCTGGACCTGTGGTGAGGGACGAGCGGGGCAGAGTCAAGGATGCGATGGGGATGGCAAGAGAGAAAAGCAACGGGAAAGGGAATAAGGGATTGCCGAGAAACGGAAGTTCTCAAGACAGAGGGCACGGCTCAAGATGAGCAGCAGCAGGGAAAAGCTCCGGTGTGGGAAGGCGAGGAGAAGGACGAACAGCAGCAGAACGCATACGCGAAAAATGACACACGTAAGGAAACGTGCTCTTCAATTAATCAGCAATGTATATATACCTGAAACAACACACAGTGTCATGGGACCTCCTTTGCCAGTATCAAAATATACTAATAGGGTTTTTCCTCTTTTTTTCTGGCAACAAAGCTGATACCTTTTGCAAGAAATAATGTTTACATTAACCACAATACTTGCAGTGAAATGCAAACAAAAAACAATACTCTGATAATTTATGCATTGTCCTTGAAACTGATTGGTCCACACCAGAGACAGCTTTCTTTAGAGCCTAGTCTCATATGGTGTTCGACCAGATGACGCCAAAAGGCGCACAGTTCAAAGACAATGCACTATCAGAATAATGAGAGCTCGGGGTGAGCCGCTACATCACGGGACCTCCTTTGGTTAATGTAAGCATGATTCCTTGCAAAAGGTATCAATTTTGTTGCCAGAAAAAAGGAGAAAAACCCTATTAGAACACACAATGTGGCAACTTATAGTGGGGGGATTGCTGTACTAAGGGTCACAGTTCGTGTGCGATGCCGGCGGCGGGCTCTGCCAAACCCTTACCATGTGCTCCAGATTTCCGATCTGTGTGTCGGTTTTCTCCAAGAGTTGCTCCTGATATCTTTTCTTCTTGAGCAGAAGCATCGCTTTGCTGTTGAGGAGCGAGGCACAGGGTAAGGGCAGACCGTGACGTAGTACGCACCGATGCAAGAGGAGCGATTGTGGTCTCGCCACCCCCACAATTTGACGCGCATTCTAAGGTTGCGCTGTGCACATTTTCACGTCGTCCTTCCGACGTGTTGTCGCGTGTCGTTCGCCACGGTGTTTCACAGGGTTCTCGCCACGTACTGGGAGCTTCGTCGGGCAGTGAATTCAATCCGGTTCTATAAGAATCTCCCAGCACCGCGCCAGACTAGATTACACCACGTCTACAGCGTGCCTACACACCCCGTGTCACACCACCACTACACTCCTTTCCTACAAGCCACTCCACACCATGCCACTCCACTAGAGGCATACCGAAATTCGGTTTCAGCGCATTAAAGTTGGCAAATGGCCTCTTTCGGCATACTTTTGATTTTTTTACTTTCGGTTCCGGCCGAAAGTCCATTTTTAACTTTCGGTCTGGTTTCGGTCGTCATTCATCAACCGAAGATCTATTTTTAGAATATAACGCCAATGTTACGTCTATCACTCTGCCTATCGGCCGGTCAGTCGGCGCTAGGCAATCCTATGCGATAGGCTGCAAACACACACACACATCAGCAGCAGCAGCAGCAGCAGCTTGGGAGCGAGGTTACAGCCGCAACCACGGTCTGCTAATGTATATACGACCGGTCAACAGACGGCAGCCTGCATCTCCATCCGTGGGTGGAGCCTCTTTGGCGGGACGACAACAAAGTGCCTCTGTTGTCTGTTCCCAGCCGCCTGCCCGCCTTGGCTTGATGTGTTGCGTTTGCTTCAGTCTACACGCGTGTTCATACCGAGATTCGAAGTCTGACAATTAGAGGCCGACCGAAATTAGGTTTCGTTTTCGGCGCCGAAAGTTGGCAAATGGCCTCTTTCGGCATAGTTTTGTTTCGGCCGAAGCCAAAAAGTTACCTTTCGGTTTCGGCCGAAAGTCAATTTTTTACTTTCGGTTTCGGCCGAAACCAGAAATTCAGTTTCGGTCGGCCTCTACACTCCACAGCACACCACTCCTCGGCTACACAACCACGCTACGTCTACACACCACTCCATGCCCACACAACACAGCACTCCATCACCAGACCACGCCACTCCATGTCTACACACCACCCCACATCTAAACACCGCTCCACGCTTACACACCAAGACACTCCATCGCCACACCACGCCAGTCCACCCGACAGCACGCCACCACACCACCACACCACAGCGCTCCATCACCACTCCACTCCACCGCCAGTCCACCCGACAGCACGCCACCACACCACCTCACCACAGCGCTCCATCACCACGCCAGTCCACCACCACGCCACCTCACACACAGCACCACAGCGCTCCATCACCACACCACGCCACTCCACCGCCAGTCCACCTGACAGCACACCACCACGCCACCACACACACCGCACCACAGCGCTCCATCACCACACCACGCCACTCCACCGCCAGTCCAACCGACAGCACACCACCACGCCAGCACACACACAGCACCACAGCGCTCCATCACCACGCCACTCCACCGCCATTCCACCCGACAGCACACCACCACGCCACCTCACAAACTGCACCACAGCGCTCCATCACCACTCCACTCCACCGCAAGTCCACCCGACAGCACGCCACCACGTCACCTCACGCACCGCACCACAGCGCTCCATCACCGCGCACCCGCACCACTCCTCCACCACTGCACAACCACCTCACACACCGCACCGCCCCCCCCACCGCCGCCTCCGCTCACTCTTTCTTGCCGTCCCGGAGCAGCTTGCGCGCCAGCTCGCGCTCCTTCTCCAGCTGCAGGGCAATCCGCTTCTGGTACTGGCGCAGCTTGTCGCGCTGCTGCTTCAACTGCTGCACTCGCACGCGGGAATGGGGGTAGGGGGGGGGGGCGGCAGCAGGGGTACACCACGTGTCAGAAGTCTCCCTCAGCCCGCTCTGGATGCAACTCTGTGTTGAACTTCTTTCGCGCCGTGCGTAGCGCGACCGTGATGATCGGTTGGCACGATGAGCACGGTCGGCTACGTGCGGTGAACGATGCTGGACGTACATACAGAAAGGACAGGCGATGTTTCGGGCTATGGCCCTTCTTCAGAGTCCATGAGCCACCTGCCCGAGATGTTGCCTATGTTTGTACATTTTAAGGCCACTTTTTTGTAAGGGGGGTTTACCACGCAAGCCGCAGGCTGTCCACAACGCGGCACAGAACCCTCGCCACCCATCATGTCAACACCACCACCACCGTCATAACCACCACTACCACAAAGTCACCAACAACACTACCTACAAACACCATCATTGTCAGCACCACGACCACCCATCTTGTCATCACCACCACCAACACCGTCATCATAACCACCACTACCACAGTCACCACCACCACTACCTACAACCACCATCATCACCAGTACCACGACCACCCATCATGTCAACACCATCATCATCATAACCACCACTACCACAAAGTCACCACCACCACTACCTACAACCACCATCATCACCACTACCACGACCACCCATCATGTCAACACCATCATCATCATAACCACCACTACTACCTACAACCACCATCATCACCACTACCTCGACCACCCATCATGTCAACACCACCACCACCATCATCATCATAACCACCACTACCACAGTCACCACCACCACTACCTACACCATCATTACCACTACCACGACCACCCATCATGTCAACACCACCACCACAAACACCAATCATAACCACCACTACCAACACAAATTAATCACCACTACCACCATCATAGCCACGATCATCCATCATGCCATTACCACCACCACCATCATAACCACCACTACAATCGTGGCATCACCACAAACACCATCATAACCACACAACCACTCACAATCACTACAAACACCATCATCATCACCACCACCATTACCACCACTACGACAGCGTCATCATCAACAACACCACCACCACCAACAACCACCCACCATGTCATTACCACCGCTACCATTACCACCACTACCACAGCGTCATCATCAACAACACCAACACCATCACCACCAACAACCACCCACCATATCACCACCAACAACCACTCACCATGTCATTACCACCATGTCATTACCACCACTACAAACACCATCATCACCACCATTACCACCACCACCACAGCGTCATCATCATCAACACCACCATCACCACCACCAACAACCACTCACCATGTCATTACCACCACTACCATTACCACCACCACCACACCCTCATCATCAACACCACCACCAACAACAACCACCACCACCACTCACCATCATCACCACCATTACCACCACCACCACCGTTACCACCACCACCAACAACAACCACCACCACTCACCATCATTACCACCACCACACCCTCATCATCATCAACACCACCACCAACAACAACCACGACCACCACCACCACTCACCATCATCACCACCATTACCACCACCACACCCTCATCATCAACACCACCACCACCAACAACAACCACCACCACCACTCACCATCACCACCAACACCACCGTTACCACCACCAACAACAACAACCACCACCACTCACCATCATTACCACCACCACACCCTCATCATCATCAACACCACCACCACCAACAACCACGACCACCACCACCACTCACCAGCACCGCCCGGTCTTGCTCGGTGACTCGCGACGGCGCCCTGCGCTTCTTGCCAAACAGATTCCCCATTGTCTCCTCGTCACCATGACAAGGAGACCGTCCACTCTCCACCCTCCTCCTCCTCTTCTTCCTCCTCCTCTTATTCTTCTTCTTCTTGATTCCAATCCTCCTCCTTTTTTCACCTCTTCCTCCTACTACGCCCGGTCAACTCGCGCTTTCATTTCCCTATAGCGCATCGGCATAGGAGTCAGCGCCACGCCCCCCCCCCCCGCCGGCAGCACGTGACCGCCCCCTCGACCCCTGAGCCAATTGGGGGCGACGGCGTTGCTCGCGAGCCTGGGCGGGTATGCGCTTATCCGGTCTATGGATTTTAAAAGCGGTGTTGGGGGGGGGAGGGGGGTAAGGGGTAGGGCGAGGGGGGGGCAGGAGGAGGAGCAAGGGACAGGGGGAGGGGCAGGGCGAGGGGGTAGGGACAGGGGGAGGGGCAGGAGGAGGGGGAAGGGACAGGGGGAGGGGCAGGGCGAGGGGGGGGCAGGAGGAGGGGGAAGGGACAGGGGGAGGGGCAGGGCGAGGGGGGGGGGCAGGAGGAGGGGCAAGGGACAGGGGGAGGGGCAGGGCGAGGGGGGGGGCAGGAGGAGGGGCAAGGGACAGGGGGAGGGGCAGGGCGAGGGGGGGGGCAGGAGGAGGGGCAAGGGACAGGGGGAGGGGCAGGGCGAGGGGGGGGGCAGGAGGAGGGGGAAGGGACAGGGGGAGGGGCAGGGCGAGGGGGGGGCAGGAGGAGGGGGAAGGGACAGGGGGAGGGGCAGGGCGAGGGGGGGGGCAGGAGGAGGGGGAAGGGACAGGAGGAGGGGCAGGGCGAGGGGGGGGCAGGAGGAGGGGCAAGGGACAGGGGGAGGGGCAGGGCGAGGGGGGGGGGCAGGAGGAGGGGGAAGGGACAGGGGGAGGGGCAGGGCGAGGGGGGGGCAGGAGGAGGGGGAAGGGACAGGGGGAGGGGCAGGGCGAGGGGGGGGGGCAGGAGGAGGGGGAAGGGACAGGGGGAGGGGCAGGGCGAGGGGGGGGCAGGAGGAGGGGGAAGGGACAGGGGGAGGGGCAGGGCGAGGGGGGGGGCAGGAGGAGGGGGAAGGGACAGGAGGAGGGGCAGGGCGAGGGGGGGGCAGGAGGAGGGGCAAGGGACAGGGGGAGGGGCAGGGCGAGGGGGGGGCAGGAGGAGGGGCAAGGGACAGGGGGAGGGGCAGGGCGAGGGGGGGGGGCAGGAGGAGGGGCAAGGGGACAGGGGGAGGGGCAGGAGGAGGAGCAAGGGACAGGGGGAGGGGGAAGGGGGCAGGGGGAGGTGGGATCGTAATCGGGCATCAAGAAATCAGAATCACAATTCTTTATTGAAACCCCAGTCATCATTAACATTTACTGCAGCCTTGCACCCCTTTGGTTCTCAATCGTTTAAACAAAACAAAAAAAATGTATAATGTTAATAATTACATCGGGTTCGTTGAAACTAAGTTGTAACTGACGTGTTTTGAGATGATTTACCTTCTTAAAAAAAAACCTCTGCCCATGTCTCGCAGGGGTCTGCGTGCATTCCAGGTGAAGAACCACAGCACAGGGGTAATCCGATGAGCTATAAAGCTTTTTCACAGATGCCCAGTAGGTGGCAGGTCAGACCGTTACAAGAATAGAAAAATAAGTATAACCCGTAAAAACAAAGTTTTTCACTATAAATCCTTTATATGCGTGGCGGCTAGAGTCCTCTCGTCCTCTGGCTTGAGATGGCTGCCACCTATGGGTCAGATGTTTGTCTGCCAGTATTAAGCAATTGGTAATTAAATATTTAATTTGTTTTCCCTAAACAGTGTAAAATTTTGGAAAAAATATTTCACGAACATTAATTGTCTCGCACAACGAGTCTGTGTGCAAAATGTCAGCTCGATTGGATCACGGGAAGTGGGTTAAAAAACGACCGAAAGATTTGCACGGTCGTAAGCAAGCAAGCACGCACGCAAGCAAGCGAACTTAATATAAAGGAGTTAAAAACCTGCAAGAGGTGCAAAGTATAGGAAATGTAAAAAAAAAAACGTATAAATATATATACAAATAAAACGAAGATCTTATATTCTTGGGTTTTTTCGGTAAAGTCACGTAGGTAAAAAAATACAATTAAAATTAATAAAAAGTAAAATAATTAAATTTTTTACCTACGTGACTTTACCGAAAAAACCCAAGAATATGAATCGTTGCAGTCACGAAAGCTTCAAATCCGAAGTTATTATCTTGCGATCCTCGTCGTCACGTGACCCCCCCCCCGCCACCAACCCCCGCCCACACGACGATTCGTCACGTGGCGGTGACATCACCACGGCGCGAGGTGCCACCTTGAGGCCACGTGGGCGTCTCCGCTGCTGCCAGGAATTCAGAATCTTCATGATGGAGCTGCTCACCTCGAACCAAGGCCGTAATTATAATATATATTTCTCTTCTTGGTTCTTTCGGTAAAGTCACGTAGAAGGGAAATAATAAAATAATAAAAATAAAACATAATAAAATAATTCTCACGACGTTTCGGCCACAACGCAAGCAGCCGTCCTCAGGTGAAAAGTGGCTGCTTGCGTTGTGGCCGAAACGTCGTGAGAATTATTTTATTATGTTTTATTTTTATTATTTTATTACTTCCCAACTACGTGACTTTACCAAAAGAACCAAGAAGATGAATCCCTGCAGTCACGAAAGCTTTAAATCGAAAAATATATTTCTGTTCATATGATTGTGGTTATGGTTGTACTTTATTAATCCCTAATCTCTGCCATTACATACAATGAAACCAGAAAAGGTCAAAAATAAAAAAACAGAGGAATGTAATACAATAATACACTATTAGACATTATTGTTAAAAATAAATAAAAAAGTCCATCCTATGTGTTAGTGGATTTTAAAAATATATTCTTGGCAGAAAATGAGTTTTCAAATTTAGATTTTTTTTTTCTGGGGGGGGGGGGGGGGGGGGGACCCCCAGACCCCCTGGAAGATTTCGTCCCCCCCAATGTTGACTCCATGGCTACGGCCTTGCCTCGAACTACAAATGCTCTGACACGTGCATTGTCCTTGTGCTGTTCGCCTTTCGGCGTTGTTCTCTGGTCTGACACTGGGGAGATCGGGCCCTAAAGAAGGCTGTCTCTGGTGTAGGCCAAGTGGCCGCCCATAAATGACGTCACGCGATTTTGGACGATTTTTGAACCCCCCCTCCCTTCATCACACGGCGTCACAAAAAGTCAGACCCCCCATAAAATATGGCGTCACAAAGCTCTGCCCCCCCCCCCCCGAAAAAAAATAAAACATGCTTCAAATCGCTTTAAACTATTGTCATTGTAGTGCGTATTAAATGTGGCGCGTGTGTGTACTCAGTGTGGGGGCCAGGGGGGGGGGGGTCGCTTGCAGAGTGGTTTCGAGGCCGTTGCACCACACATGCATTGTCAGAGCATGCTTGTTTGTGGTTAATGCACACTTGATTCCTTGCAAAATGAATCTTATTTGGTGTTGGAACATCTTAATACCTGTTGTATTGCCAGAAAGGGTAAAACCTATTCTTATTTTTAAATCTTTAATATTAAGTTCGCTTGCTTGCGTGCTTGCTTGCGTGCGTGCTTGCTTGCTTACGACCGTGCAAATCTTTCGGTAGTTTTTTAATCCACTTCCCGTGATCCAATCGAGCTGACATTTTCCACACAGACTCGTTGTGAAAAATGTTTTCCAAAATTTTACACTGTTTAGGGAAAACAAATTAAATATTTAATTACCAATTGCTTAATACTGGCAGACAATCATCTGACCCATAGATTGCAGCCATCTCAAGCCAGAGGACGAGAGGACTCTAGCCGCCACGCATATAAAGGATTTAGAGTGAAAAACTTTGTTTTTACGGGTTTACTTGTTCCTACTTTTTTTCCTGGCAAAAAAGGTCCCATGATACTTCATGGAGACTACAGGAGGAATCCGATGAGCTATGAAGTTCTTTTTGACAGATGTCCAGTCTGGGTGGTTCAGCAAGTTACAACAGCAAACACGGGACAGGTATCAGGTGTTAGGGTGTTCTTCTACTTTCTTTTGTACGGCTGTTGATGTAGACGCAGAACAACGACTACGATTTCACATTCAGTCTCAAAAGCCGTCCTCAGGTGAAGAACAGGTCTGTCGATAAGACAGAGTCTGAATGACTTATCGACAGACCTGTTCTTCACCTGAGGACGGCTGCTTGCGTTGTGGCCGAAACGTCGTGAGAATTATTTTATTATGTTTTATTTTTATTATTTTATTATTTCCATTCTACGTGACTTTACCGAAAGAACCAAGAAGATGAATCCCTGCAGTCACGAAAGCTTTAAATCGAAATTTCGTTACACGTTGTTGCGGTCCGTTCTGGATGATCGCAGTGGCACACACCTGGAAAGTTTTTAACGATCAATTTGTGCATCGGGTATCCGAATCTACTGCCATGGTTTGTGCGGGTGCGATTCAGGATGGACCACGAGCTTCGTGGAAGATCAAACCCAGGGACTGAGATCACTGGCAGATGTACCACCTGTGGTTCCGCACTGCCAACTTTACATCATCTCATCTCAACACATTAGAAAGGGCATCCCCCGTGAAAGCTGTCCCTGTGTTAGTGCACAAGGTGACTCTGCACATGGCCTACAAACGGGCTTTATGAAGTCTTGCTCGTAGGGGTGACGACGATAACGAATTGCTGTGCGAATGACCAATTTGACAATTTTCGGGTCAATTTTCGATTCGTACGCCAGGGGGCGGTCTGACTCTTGCACGAGCGGAGCGGTGGCGCAGTGGTTGGCGAATTGAACTCCCTACGTGGTTATCCACCCCCTCGTGTGCCGCCTTCGTAGGCTCCACTCGCTAACAGCACTTGCCCCAGCAGCCTGTGAAAGGCTATAGGGAGATCTTTGTCTTTTGTATCTATGGATGATTGACACGTGTCGTGATGATTGACACAGTAACCGGTCCAGAGTTTGATGATCATTGACACAGGAGCTATGACGCAGCTCTTCGCGCGCTAGGCCGCCTACGAACTCTGACAACCCGAGTTCGATTCCTGGCCGCGACTAATATCAGGATCAGGGATATCTGAGCCGGTCCTGGCCTGGGTGCCACCCCCCACTGCCCCCCCCCGCCCCATTTCACCAACACGCACTGACCAGCGCGGTGATGTATGGCCAAGTC